CGTTCTCTCTCTCCTCCCCTGGTCCTCCCTCCTTCCTCTCCTCCCTGTCTCTTCTTCTTCGTCAGCGTCATATCAGCTCTGGTGCCTTTTCCCACCCTCTGCTGACACTAGAGTACATAGGAATGCCTCATGGTCAGCGGGTTGGTCAGCTCGTCTTGTTTCCCTTCACTTGGTCTGAGGAATGTGTCTTTTGATGTAGGAGTTGAAGGCTGTTTCTCTGTCTCATCGAAATACCTGTTGGAATCATGTGTATGTGTCTCATGTGTTGTGTTTGTGTGTGTGTGTCTTATGTGTTACTTGTGTTTCCTATGTGTGTTGCGGAAGGAGCCCCACTGCTGTTGTCAGGAGTGTAGGAAATGTTGTCAGTGGCTGCAGTACAACACCCTCACCTCTCCTTCACTCAACACATGGGGGGTGGTGAGGTTACAACAGAGAGTGAACAGAAGGACTCAAGGAGGAGGTATTGTCTCCTCCTTGAATCCTCCTCCTCCTCCTCCTCCCCCTCTTTCTTAGCCTCTACAAAATCCTTCATGTCTCTGGTCTTAACTTCTTCCCAAAGTTTGGCTTCAACCTTCCACAGCTACAAATTAGGTTACATACGATGAGCTCCTGCCCTCCATGTTCTCTCTTACACACGCACACACAGACCAGACTCTCCCTGGAGGCTCGCGGTGGGTACAGTCAAGGCTTCCGAGTCTTTCTTTCCTGGACGATCAGACAGTTTCGAGGTATTCCCCGATAGTGGTGTTGTACCTGGCCTCGTTCCCTCCTCCCTGGCCTCACCCACTCCTCCCTGGCCTCACCCCTCCTCCCTGGCCTCACCCCTCCTCCCTGGCCTCACCCCCTCCTGCCTGGCCTCACCCCCTCCTGCTATAACACCCAGCAACCTGATAATGAGGTTCCCTGCAGGGTGCCTCACAATCTCAGCTGGGTGTGAGGTGGAAGGTTGTGTGAGGCAGCCATCCTGTGGGAGACATTCACGTCCTAAACAGCCCCACCTCAGCCCCACCAGAGGACCACAAACAGACCCTCTGGGAATAACCCCATTGAGAAAATTGCCCCAATCATACTCGTAGAAGCAGTGGCGAGGTGAAGAGCGCCACCCCCAGAACTTCTCGTGTTGGGAGGAATCTTTCACTGGCCATATTGAAACCATCTATACACATCGACCTCGACCTATTGCTCTTCCTACCTTGAGTTGGTCCTCCACCGAGCTAATCCTCGACTCGACTGTAGTGGTTGATAGCCGTTGTCTATGGAATGTGTTTCATATCAACATTATCAGAACCTTTGAGTCAAGAATTAATAATGTTTTTAACTCACCTGGATTATACCGTGTTCTACAGAGAATCTAATTACCTGTTCCATCACCTTCACTGTTTACCTGTCCTGTTACACTACCATGAACCATCACACCTGGTGTACTAACATGAACCATCACACCTGGAGTACTACCATGAACCATCACACTTGGAGTACTACCATGAACCATCACACCTGGAGTACTACCATGAACCATCACACCTGGAGTACTACCATGAACCATCACACCTGGAGTACTACCATGAACCATCACACCTGGAGTACTACCATGAACCATCACACCTGGAGTACTACCATGAACCATCACACCTGAGTACTACCATGAACCATCACTTGAGTACACAGGAACCATCACACCGGAGTACTACCATGAACCATCACACCTGAGTACTACCATGAACCATCACACCCGGAGTACTACCATGAACCATCACACCTGGAGTACTACCATGAACCATCACACCCTGAGTACTACCATGAACCATCACACCTGGAGTACTACCATGAACCATCACACCTGGAGTACTAACCATTCACCCCCTCACACTCCTTTTCCTTCCTTCCTTCCTTCTCCTCCCCTTTCTTTCTCCTCTTCCTCCATTCCTTCCTCACCATGTTTCCTCCTCTCCCATAATGGTAGTTCATCCCAGCAGCACCACCACCACCACTACCCATCACCATCACTACCACCACTATCACCAAACACAGACCAGGAGGAGGAGGGAGGAGGAGAGGAGGAGGAGGAGGAGGAAGAGGAGGAGGAGGAGGAGAAGGAGGAAGAAGTGTTCCATTTCCTCGTCGCCGGAACTAAGATAACACGGAACTAATTAAGAGCTTACGGGTTGCACAATTGAGAATGAGAACGGGCTCCTCCCCCCACCTGGTTAAACGGCTCCCTCCTCCTCCCACCATGGCCTCCCCACGACGGTTACCGCCTCCCACGACGGTTACTCTCGCCTCCCACAACGGCCTCCCTCCCACCATGGCTCCTCTCCTCCCCACACAACGGACCCTCCCTCCCACAACGGCGCTCTCCTCCCACAACGGCTCCTCCTCCCACAATTGTTGATGGAACAGTAGCGGTTTGTTTTGTCTGGATCTATCCATCTCTATCCTCCCACCGGTCCTCTTAGGCTATCCTGTATGTCTAGATGAGTGGATGGATAGATGGATAGATGGATAGATGGATACAATTGTGGATAATTTGTACATGTGTGTAACCAATCCATTCTCTCTCTCTCTCGTTCGTCACCACCTACTCAGACCTATGCTGGACACACACACACACACACACACACACACACACACACACACACACACACACACACACACACACACACACACACACACATCTACCATTCCCTTTGATGTTCCGTCCCCTTATCACCCTTAACAAGCCTTCCATTACCATTAACGCCGTTACCATTATCTACCATGATTCATCTTTGTCATTATCTATATCCTTATATTACGATGCTATGGTAGGCTATGGTATGGTAGATAGATCTTAATAGTGAAACAGTACTACTATTTCCATTACTACCATATCCCATAGCTATTACCATTATTTAATACTTATTTTTTCCTGACCATTTCTGTGCTACCATACATCCCATAATTATTACCATTACTAGTTTTTTTTTACATTGCTACCATTCCTATGCCACCATACCTACTACCATTATCGTAACTAATATTCTCTCTTATATAATGGTGTTCTAATTACCATGCGTCTACCATTACCATAAATTACCATGGCTATTATTTGTGTCTTCTTTTCTCTCCTCCCCTCACTCTCCCCACACCTATCTCCCCATCTCCCTCACTCTCCCCCCCACTCCCCATCTCCCCACCCCCCCCCACCCCTGCCTCCCCCATCTCCCCACCTCCCCCCTCACCTCCTCCCCCACCCTACCTCCCCACCTCCCCCACTCCCCATCCCCACCCTCCCCTCACCTCCCATCTCCCCACCCCACCTCCCCATCTCCCCACCTCCCTCACCTCCTCACACCCACCTCCTCACTCTCCCTCACCTCACCCATCTCCCCACCTCCCCTCACTTCCCCATCTCCTCACCCTACCTCCCCATCTCCCTACCTCCCCTCACTCCTACCCTCCCATCTCCCCACCTCCCCTCACTCTCCCCACAGGCCGATATCCATTATTTTGATGATTGTGCTTCCAATACTTTCTCCTTTCCTGACACCATCCCTGACAACACCTGCCAACACTGCTGACAACTACCGGTAATGATGACAGCACTGCCAACACATCACTGACAACACCTGCCAACACTGCTGACAACTACCGGTAATGATGACAGCACTGCCAACATCCTCACAACACCTGCCAACACTGCTGACAACTACCGGTAATGATGACAGCACTGCCAACACATCACTGAACAACACCTGCCAACACTGCTGACAACTACCGGTAATGATGACAGCACTGCCAACACATCCCTAACAACACCTGCCAACACTGCTGACAACTACCGGTAATGATGACAGCACTGCCAACACATCCCTAACAACACCTGCCAACATCAGACAACTACCGGTAATGATGACAGCACTGCCAACACATCACTGACAACACCTGTCGATAAATACTGACAGCATTGCCAACACATCTAACAATGGCAACATCATTGACAACACTGCTGCCCAACTGCCATGCCCTCTGACCTTAACTGAGAGAGAGAGAGAGAGAGAGAGAGAGAGAGAGAGAGAGAGAGAGAGAGAGAGAGAGGTACTGGTCACCCCGTCAAGACCCCGGAGGGGGGGAGACGGACAGACAGACAGACAGATAGGACAGAGAAAGACAGGTAGACAGAGAAAGACAGGGAGACAGATAGAGAAAGACAGGTAGACAGATAGAGAAAGACAGGGAGACAGATATATAGACAGACATACATACTGACAGAACGGATAGATAGATAGACGAACAGACAGATTGAAGGATAGACAGGTTGACAGATTGACAGAAAAAAAAGACATGTAGACACAAAGACATACAGACAGACAGGTACAAAAATAGACGGTCATATATACAGACGCACGAACAGACAGACAGACAGACAGACAGACAGACAGACAGACAGACACACACTGAATTTTATCGACGTGTCATAACCCCTTGAGAACCAAAGTCGTCATTCTCAAGGTAATGGGTGGTCGTACTCAAGGGTAATGGGTGGTCGTACTCAAGGGAATGGGTGGTCGTACTCAAGGGAATGGGTGGTCGTACTCAAGAAATGGGTGAGTCGTACTCAAGGGAATGGTGGTCGTACTCAGAAATGGGTCGTCGTACTCAAGAGAATGGGTGGTCGTACTCAAGGGAATGGGTGGTCGTACTCAAGAATGGGTGGTCGTACTCAAAGGAAATGGGTGGTCGTACTCAATGCTATAGGTCGTAAATTGTCCTGAAAACATAAAAATCATATAATCAAAAATAAATAAAAAATTAATGCCAAAAAAAAAAACATAAAATAACCCAAAAAAAACCCGCAAAAAATGTAAAAATAAAATAAAATAAAATAAGAACTACAAAAAAACTAAAAAAAAACAATAAAAAACGCAAAAATAATGTAAAAAAAAATAATCCTAAATAAATTCACCACCAACAACATGACCTGTTATCTCTCACCGTCTCTCTCTCACTCTTCTCACCAGCCATCCTCAACTGCCTGTGTGAGAAGTTCCTCCCGGATAATGTCTCAGCAATTATCTTCCTCACCCGGACTGAGACATACGGACGTTCCACAGCATCCGCCCAGTACTTCCTTCAGTTGGCCGGTTACCTGGGTATTCCGGTTATCGCCTGGAATGCTGATAACTCCGGTCTGGAACAGGTAAGTGGACCAAAACGTGTACAGTTCATGGTATGGTCGGGTTGTAGATCTGGTTTGTTCGGAGTTTTTTATTTTTTGTTGATTGGTTGGGGTTTGGTTAGGTTTAGGTTAGGTTAGGTTAGTTTACATTTAATTTGGTTTGGTTGGGTTAGGTTAGCTTTAGGTTAGATTAACTTTAGGTTTAGTTAGGTTAGCTTTAGATTAGGTTAGGTTAGCTTTAGATTAGGTTAGGTTAGGTTAGCTTTACGTTAGGTTAGGTTAGGTGAAATATACTGAGTCAGGAGGCAGCTAATACCTTCAGGGGAGCCAATATATTTTAACCTTACAACACAAAAACGTTTTCCTAGACAATAACAAGAGCTGTGATACCTGGGGGGGGGGGTGGGGAGAGGGAGGGAGGATGAGGACAAAGGGACGAGGTGAGGAAAAGGAAAGGGGTAGGAGACTGGATGGGGAAGAGGAAGGGGTGGAGGGGAAGGGAAAGAGAAGGGTGAAGGGGGACGGGGTGAGGGTGAGGGGAAGGGGGGAGGCTGGTGAAGAACTCTCTAGAGGCCACTGTATACAGATTTAGTGTAGTGGGTCTAGCCAGAGGTTTGTGACACCATTATAATGCTCTCTCTCTCTCTCTCTCTCTCTCTCTCTCTCTCTCTCTCTCTCTCTCTCTCTCTCTCTCTCTCTTTTCTTTCTCTCTTTTCTTTCTCTCTCTCTCTCTCTCTTTCTTTATCTCTCTCTCTCTCTCTCTGGTATGTTGCTAACTGGGCTCTAGAACACCAATAACTGGGCTCTGGAACACCAATAACTGGGCTCTGGAACACCAATAATTGGGTTCTGGAACACCAATAACTCGGCTCTGGAACACCAATAACTGGGCTCTGGAACACCAATAACTGGGCTCTGGAACGCCAATGACTGGGCTCTGGAACCAATTGGGAGACTCCGACCTGTTAGTGTGTAGTATATAGTTAGTTAATGTATAGAACGCCAGTAAGTTAGATTTCGTTGGGTCTTGGTTAGGTTTGGTTAGGTTAGGTAAATAATCCTCGCTATTCAGTTTACAAATTTGCAGTTTACAGCACTTTTTCAAATGTATACCTGTGTTTCACCTTTAATTAACGAGTAAAAATAATTCCCTGCATTATTACCGTAAAAACCATTAATAATTAACCTCAGGTACAAGTAATTAACAATAGTCTAACAATAGTTTTAACAACAGTCAACAATAGTTTACAATAGTCTAATAAAAGTCTTAACAACTGTCTAACAATAGTCGTAACAATAGTCTAACAATAGTCTAACAATAGTCTAACAATAGTCCCTAACAATAGTCTCAACAATAGTCTAACAATAGTCTAGCAATGACGCCAAAAATGTGAAATAAAAACAAAAGAAAAAACCCAGTTAAATCATTACCTTGGGAGATGTATACCTTTCCAGTCAGCCTCCTGGAACGGTCATAACTCAGGGTAGGAAGATGAAAGTGGTCTCTGGAGGCGCCTTATACAGATGGCCTGAATACAAGACCTACCACAGCATCTGTAGAATCATTTGTAGTCGAGGTTTCCAGGTCTTTCCATCGGCACTGGAAGCTTGGGTGGCTCTGGAAGATATGTGGAATTATTTGTAGTCGAGGTTTCCAGGTCTCTCCATCGGCACTGGAAGCTTGGGTGGCTCTGGAAGATATGTGGAATTATTTGTAGTCGAGGTTTCCAGGTCTCTCCATCGGCACTGGAAGCTTGGGTGGCTCTGGAAGATATGTGGAATTATTTGTAGTCGAGCTTTCCAGGTCTTTCCATCGGCACTGGAAACTTGGATGGCTCTGGAACGCTGGACCAATGAGAAAGGAAATGACTAAGTCGTTTATTTGCATCAAGAATATAAACATAAATCACTTGGTATTTTTTTTTCTCGACTGGATAAAACTATATTTCCAACCATTGTCTGGAACGCCCAGTAAGTCGTGCCTGGAAATAGGTAAATGACCTTTGAGAGAGAGAGAGAGAGAGAGAGAGAGAGAGAGAGAGAGAGAGAGAGAGAAATCATAAAGTATGCAAAGGTTTTCACAAGTTTCTATGCTAACCACTGCTATTCATGCTTTCCTTAGTGTGTTAGGTTGAGTTTCCATTCACCGCCTGGAACGTATGAGAGACCATGGGGGAATATTTTATATAACACACACACACACACACACACACACACACACACACACACACACACACACACGCAGGTTGCCATCTAACATCACTTTAAATCTTTCTCGCTCTTATATTTTTTCTTAATATTTTTACGTGTGGCAAGAATTATATTTTTATGGAGTTGTGCTGGAACACTCACAGCATGGCCTGGTACAACATGGCCTGGTACAACATGGCCTGGTACAACATGGCCGGGTACAACATGGCCTGGTACAACATGGCCGGGTACAACATGGCCTGGTACAACATGGCCTACAGGTACAACATGGCCGGGCAGGTACAACATGGCTGGGTACATGGCCTACAACATGGCTGGGTACAACATACGGGTACAACATGGCCGGGTACACAACATGGCCTGGTACAACATGGGCTGGGTACAACATGGCTGTCTCTCTCTCTTTTGGCCGTACAGAGACTTGAAACAATAATAATAATAATAATAATAATAATAATAATGGCGAGAATAACCCTGAGAATGACGGGTCTCGGGGTAAAACAAGAGCAAACCACGTAGGGTCTCGGGACAAAACAGTGATGAGCCATAAGGTCGATTATCCATGCGGGGAAACTAGGGAAATGTGTCTTAGTGTCCGTGTGAGAATTATGTTAATTTAGGTCAGAGAGAGAGAGAGAGAGAAAAAAAAGAGAGAGAGAGAGAGAGAGAGAGTCTATCCTCCTCCTCACTTACTTCCACCTCCTCTTCCCCTCCTCCTCCCTCCTCCTTCCCCCTCCTTCCTTCCTTCCATCGATTTTCTCCTCTCCCTCCTCTCCATCATCTCCATTACTCCTTCTCCTTCTCTTTCCTCCCCATTCTTCCTCCTTCTTTTCCTCCTCCTCCTCCCTCCTCCCTCCTCCCTTCTCCTCCTCCCTCTTCCTCCTCCTTCCCCTCTCTTTCTCTCCTCCTCCACTTTTCTTCCTCCTCCTCCTCCTCCTCCTCCTCCCTCCTCCTCCTCCTCCTCCTCCTTCCTCCTCCTCTCCTCCTCCTCCTCTCACACTGTGACCACCTGAATAAACCCGGTTTTATGAAGGTTTAAGGATGCCAATTTAGGTTCCGGGTCGTGTTTGCGCAATCGGTGTTGCTGCCAGGGTTGTCAGCAGTCGGTGTTGTTGGAATAGGGTTGTCAGCAGTCGTGTTGTCAGCAATCGGTGTTGTGAAGAATTGGTCTGTCAGCAGTCGGTGTTGTCAGCAGTCGTGTTGTTAGAATCAGTTGTCAGCAGTTGGTGTTGTCACCAGTCGGTGTTGTCAGCAGTCAGTGTTGTCAGTAGTCGGTGTTGTCAGAGTCGGTGTTGTTAGGATTAGGTTGTCAGCAGTTGGTGTTGTCAGCAGTCGGTGTTGTCAGCAGTCGGTGTTGTCAGCAGTCGGTGTTGTCAGCAGTCGTGTTGTCAGCAGTCGGTGTTATAGGAATAGTTGTCAGCAGTTGGTGTTGTCAGCAGTCGGTGTTGTCAGCAGTTGGTGTTGTCAGCAGTCGGTGTTGTCAGCAGTCGGTGTTGTTAGGAATAGGGTTGTCAGCGTTGGTGTTGTCACCAGTCGGTGTTGTCAGCAGTCAGTGTTGTCAGTAGTCGGTGTTGTCAGCAGTCGGTGTTGTTGGAATAGGGTTGTCAGCAGTTGGTGTTGTCAGCAGTCGGTGTTGTCAGCAGTCGGTTTGTCAGCAGTCAGTGTTTCAGCAGTCCAGTGTTCGAGGTCAGAGAGTTAATTGGGGTGACGTGTACACTGTATGAGTGTGTGTGTGTGTGTGTGTGTGTGTGTGTGTGTGTGTGTGTGCGTGTGTGTGTGTGTGTGTGTGTGTGTGTGTGTGTGTGTGTGTGTGTGTGTGCGTGTGTGTGTGTGTGTGTGTGTGTGTGTGTGTGTGGTGTGTGTGTGTGTGTGTGTGTGTGTGTGTGTGTTTTAGCTACTCTCTCTCTCTCTCTCTCTCTCTCTGCTATCCACCTACCTCACTGCCCTCCACCTGAAGATCCACTCAACAGGTGGATAAGAGATATTGCTTTTCAATATCCACATCCGCCTCTGTCCCAAGCCTTGATCTAAGACGGCTTTACCGCCTGTTTAAGCCTGGTGTTACGTCTGGCGCTGTGGTTGGATGGGAGGGGGAGGGTGGGTTGGGAGGGAGGTGGGTTGAGGAGGAGGAAGTGTGTAAGGGGAGAGGGAGGAAGACGTAGGGAAAGGAAGGAGGGGTGTTTTGGAATGTTTCATCTGTGTGTCTGTTTATGTGTGTTTGTTTGTTTTGTTTTGTGTTTGTTTGTTTTGTAAGTGTGTTTGTATGTTTTCGTTTGTGTGTTTGTTTTCGTTTGTGTGTTTGTTTGTTTTTGTAAGTGTGTGTGTATGTTTTTGTTTGTTTGTTTGTTTGTTTTCGTTTGTGTGTTTGTTTTTTCCGTCTATGGATGTTACACCTGTCTGGAAACACCAACATGTCTTCATGACCACCTGGGTCCTTTCCTGGAACAAGCACTGGAACGACCTCTCCTTCACCTGGAACAAAGAAGTATCCACATTAAAGAATAAAGTTGATTGTAGACAGACAGACAGGGACAGACAGAGAAGACAGAGACAGACAGACAGACAGGGACAGACAGACAGACAGACAGAGAAGACAGGGACAGACAGACAGTTAATCCTGGTTCTCCGGAGTGTGTGCTAAATTGGAACTGATATCTGAATGGATGTCTGGAACTGTATGTCATTATGGATGGTGATGATGATGATGATGATGATGGTGGTAGTGATGATGATGATGGTGGTAGTGATGATGATGATGATGATGATGATGATGATTCCAGAATTTATACTTGTGACTGGAATGATACTGAAACTGGAATAAAGATCTATTAAATTATTCCCGTTATGAAGTGATTCCTACCTCGTTATTACACTGTTGTTCCAGACTCTCAGTGCTGGAGTGTGTTGTGTTGTCCTGGAATGATGGTAATTCCTGGAAGGTGTTGGTACTGGAAATGGCTTTATGGATTACCTGGAAATTTAAACACGTAACCTAACCTAACCTAACCTAACCCTCTTTAAAGCTACTTGGAAGGGTTAGGTTGGGTTAAGTAAATAGAATTAAGTTAGGTTGATTAGAGTTAGGTTAGGTTAGGTTAGGTTAGGTTAGATTGGATTAGGTTAGGTTGTTTCATCATCTGGTTGAGACAAACTTGATAACTAATCATCAAGTATTACCACAGAGCTTCTCTAACATCCAGAACTTAACACATAACACCTGATACTGACTCAACAAGGTCTGGGACGGGGGGTAGGGTTGGCAGGGGATAGGGGGTGGGGGTGGGTAGGTTTGGGAGGGGGTAGGGGTGGGGTGGGTAGGTTTGGCGGGGGTAGGGGGTGGGGTGGGTAGGTTTGGCGGGGGGTAGAGTAGGATAGGAGGATTTAAAGGGGAGGGAAGGAGGAAGGGGATTAGGTAATATTTCTAAGGCAGAGAGGAAGGTGGCTCCAGGAAGAGGCTGATTCAGGAGGAAATTTGATCCCGGAACTGACAAAGGGGGAAGGAACCACACACACCTACCTTCACTTCCTTCCTTCCCTTCCCCTTTCTTCCCCTCCCTCTTTCCTTCCTTCCCCTCCAGTGTGTCTTAATGATGGCTTCTACCAGGGTGATAAAATTTTCTATAGAATGATAAAACATGGTATGATAACTTACCCTTGGATGATGATGATGATGATGATGATGATGATGATGATGATGATGAATCCTTCTCTCCTTCCTCTTTCACCCTTTTTTCGTCCTTCGCATATCACACCATCCTTTCCTCTTTCTTTCATTAGCCTCCCTTCCTCCCGTCAACTCTCTTTCCCTTTCTCCTTTTTTTGTAGAGAGAGATAGAGGGTGAAAGAAGATTAGAGGTGGAGGAAGGAAGTTATTGGTCGGAAATTGAAGAATTTAGAGCATTTAGCCCGCCTGGTTAATAGCTGTAATGTGTTAGGGTTGTGTCGCGAGTTGGTGTGTCTGTTGGTACAGGCACTGAACCTACCCTGTCCCATCATGGGTGTTTTGACTTATTTCATATTCCGCCGACCCTACTGGCGGATGCTGGTCGAGGAGGTTGTCTGACCTCGGCCGTATGGATCAGGGGTGGTAATGGACCTTTTGAGATTTGGTAACTTTTTGGAGACCATTGTATGGTTGCTGTCGCTATCTAGTGGGAGTGTTTGAAGGAGTTCTAGTTCTGATCGTTCTATCTTTTGCCAGGTTCCTGGCCAGGTGTCAGCTGCTGGTTGATGGGTTTCATTCTCAGGTCTCTATGGGTTTGGTGAGAGGTATCTTTTCTGTGACGAATCTCAGGGCTTCATTTGGACCACCTGTATTTTAATATTTGGTGGTGCTCATAGTATGAAGAGGTACTGCTGGGTAAGTTAATATCGGTGTGATAAGTGATGTCACAAGGCAGTTTTATATTCTCAGGGAAGCGATTTAAGCGGTATAGTTTTCTCAGCTCTTCTTGCCTTTTCCTTCCTGGTGTGGACATGATGGGAGTAACCTGTCGTGGATATATGCAGGCCCAGGAGGTGCCTCTGCGTATTCTATCTGGGCATTATTGGTTTTAATGGATGGTTGTCCCTTCTGCATAAGGTATCACTTTGAATTTCGTGAGACTGGTTTGGATTTCCCTTTTTTGTAATCCCTTTTATTTCCGCCTGGTGTTGTCGACCTGTTACGCTCGCGATTTTCTGATGTGTTGTTATTTGAGTGATGTCATCTGCATACATAATATCTTCGTTACCTATTCTAGTGGAGGCGGGATCACTTGTGTAGATAATATATAGAGATTGGAGAGGGGCTGCCCTGAGGGACTCCGTTCATGAGTGGGAAGGTCTGTTACTTTCTTACCTTCCTTACTCCCTCTCTTCATCCTCCTCCCACCAACCAACTCCCACATTACACTCCTCTCACTCACTCACTCTCTTTTCCAGGCTGCCCAGAGTGGATTAAGGATTCAGCTCGCCCCCGCCGTCGTCCACCAAGCGGCCGCCATGTTATCTATCTTAGTGAGATATCAGTGGCACTCCTTATCTATCGTGACGTCAGAGATCGCTGGCCACACCGACTTCGTCCAGGCTGTGAGGGACCAGGTGGCGCAACACAAGGAGGATCATCGTGGCAAGTGAGTACATGGGTTCGATTTGGGGGGGTTTGGGGTTCGATTTTGGTGGTACGTGGGTTCAATTTGGGTTCGGTTTGGGGGATCACTGTAGAAATAAAGTACCTGGGTTTGATTTTGGAGTCTCTGGGTTCGGTTTTAAAGAATCGCCACGACAAGTAAGCACGAGGGTTCGATTTGGGTTCAGCGTATATCGAACCAACATCGAACCAACATAAAACTAACATAGAACCAACGTATAACCAACATAGAACCAACATCGAAGAAAATATTGAAAAAATTACTAAATTCCTTTGATAAGATAATGCCTGATTGTCACTTACTGGTTTGTGGTTCTGTGTAATAAGAACCATCTCATCCTCTCCTCCTCCTCCTCCTCCTCCTCCTCCTCCTCCTCCTCCTCCTCCTCCTCTCCTCCTCTTCTCCTCCTCCTCCTTCTCCTCCCTCCTCCTCCTCCTCCTCCTCCTCCCTTCATGGTAATTAAACACTCGGCGTGGTTCAAGGGGCCATGGTTCACTACTGAGAGAGAACCTACCTTGATTAATTAGTTTGTGTTTAGTTCCTTACCTTTATCAGTAGGTGTAATTCTCTCTCTCTCTCTCTCTCTCTCTCTCTCTCTCTCTCTCTCCCCTCTCTCTCTCTCTCTCTCTCTCTCTCTCTCTCTCTCTCTCCCATTCCACCCACCCTTCAAGACCCTCCCAGTCCTTCTTTCTTCCTTCCGTTTCCTGTTCCTTTCTCCGTCTCTTTCCTGTCCCACCCACCATCATCCTCCTCTCTCCTCTCTCCTCCTTCATCTCCAACAATTTACCTCCGGGGTTCAACTCCTGCGGTATGGAAACCTAAAGGGGTGTTGGCGTCAACCCAACTTCACTGAGGCTTTGGGGAGAGAGGGAGGAGATGAGGAGAAGGGTGGATGGGATGGGGAGGAAGGAGAAAAGGAGCAGGTGGGTAGTTGGAAGGGGAAGAATGAAAAGGGTGGAAGGGATAAGGGAGAAGGTAGAGGGAGAGAATGCAAAGGGAGGGTAGTAGAGACTGGAAAATGAGAAGGAAGGAGAAAAGGGAAAGAGAGGAAATGAGAGATGAGGAGAGGATGGTGGAAAGGGGAAGACAGGGGTAGATGGAAGGAAGGAGAAGGGTGAAAAAGTGAAGGAAAGCGTGAGAGAAGGGTTTAGAAAGCAAGAAAGGAAAAAGGAAAGAAGGAAGACGTAGGCTGAAAAGGAAGAAAGGGTGAAAGCAAGAAAGGAAGGAAGGAAGGGAAGAAAGGATGAGAAAGCAAAGAAAGGAAGGAAGGAAAGGGGAAGAAAGTAGAAAAGGGACTCAACTTTACCCAGGATGAAAATTAAAACGTTTTTACACTCTCTTTGTGACCTCAAGTTTAGGTTTGTCAAATCTTATTCTTTATCTGTGACCCCAAGTTTAAGGGTAGAGATGGTAGAGTCCTTAGGTATCTCTCTGTTAGGGGTGTTGTGGAGACCTGGGAGCCTTATAGGGTTGTGGATAAGGGTTGTGAGTTGTTGTTGTTGTGACTGGGTTGTAGGTTTGGTTAGGTTAGGTTAGGTTAAGTTAGGTTAGGTTAGGTTAGGTTAGGTTAGGTTAGGTTAGAAGGCGAACCAATGCTTATTTACCTATGCATAAACACAAATAAAACTATATCTAAAATACACACAAAACCAGACCTAAAACACACTTAAACCACACACATAAATACTTAAACCAAACATAAAACCAAATACACAAATTAGGAGTTTGGCAGGCTCCCAGCTGTAACCCCCGCCCCCCCCTCATACCCTATGCCTCGACTTCCTAAAAGCAGTTTCATTTTCTGGTGGAGTTTAGTGTGTTCTCAGCAAGCCTCTTTTTAATCCTCCCTCATGATCTGTAACGCTCGTGGTGAATTGTGGTGGAGGGGTGGTGGTGGTGAGGATAGTTGTGGTGGGGGGAGGTGGGGTGGGGGAGAGTGTAGGGGGTTGTGGTGGTACAGTGGGGTTGGTCGTTCTAGTAATGTTGGTAGTTGCGGTGGTCGTACAAGAAATGGTGGTGGTTGTGGTTGTCGATAAGTAATAGTGGTGGTTGTGGTGGAGACAGGAAACTGTTCACTGTCGAGGAGAGAAAGACTGTGTACTGGAGGAGAAATATCAATACCTGGAAAAACTGTGTTCCAGAATTTTGTACTTGGAAATACAGTGTTCCAGAATCTTGTACCTGGAAAAACAGTGTTCCAGAATTTTGTACTTGGAAATACAGTGTTCCAGAATCTTGTACCTGGAAATACAGTGTTCCAGAATTTTGTACCTGGAAAAACAGTGTTCCAGAATTTTGTACTTGGAAATACAGTGTTCCAGAATTTTGTACTTGGAAATACAGTGTTCCAGAATTTACAGCTTGATATTTCCAGAATCTTGTACCTGGAAAAACAGTGTTCAAATTTTGTACCTGGAAAAACAGTGTTCCAGAATCTTGTACCTGGAAAAACAGTGTTCCAGAATCTTGTACCTGGAAAAACTGTTCCAGAATCTTGCACTTGGAAAAACCGCAATCCAGTTGCCTTGTACCTGGAAAAAACCGCAATCCAGAATCTTGTACCTGGAAAATTTGGGTTCCATTAGTCCTCACGGTCTGGAAAATTGGGTTCAAGTGGCCTTCAGCATGTGGAGAAACGAGCTGAGGTGTAAGTGTGGGGAGGAAGCTTTAATGTGTCTACTACCTGGCTGAGCTGATCTGTAACCTCTTTAATACACCCAGATGGTTAGGTTAGGTTAGGGTTAGGTTAGGTTAGGGTAGGTTAGGTTAGGTTAGGTTAGGTTAGGTTAGTTAAGAAATATACAAGTACTTAGAATTTATGAATATGAAAAAAAATACCCAAAATGTCATTAGAATTCACTCCTGATTGAAGGATTTCCACACACGGAATTGATATCGACTGAAAGAGTAAAAAATAAATAAAAAATTCCGAGCAGGTTGATTGGATCTCTGGCGTTTGTGAAGAAAAATTCATCTATCGTGTAATTGCTTCCTGACGTGTGTGAAGAAAAATTCCCTAGTGGTGGTTCTTCTCTCTGGCGTTTATAAAGATGGCAGATAAATTCTATATAGGTTTGTGATATTATTCTCTTCTTGATGTGATGAAAAAAAATTCTCTGCTGGGGGGAAAGAATTTGTGTCATGGAATTTTTCTTTGACATTTATCAAGGACAAATTCTACACAATTCTACACTGATGGAGTTCCTTTCTGCTTCATCAGTAAAAGATTAAAAATTCTGTATTGGCGGGTTTTAATTATTTTTTTAGCAAGAATTAGTGAGGAAATTCTATCATTTAAATCACTGTCTTGTCTTTCTCTGTCAGTAATAAACTTAATAAATGCTGGAATTTTAACTAATATCTTTTTAATAAATTAAGAATTATATATTTTTTTCGATTATAATCCCAAAAAATTCTCTAAACTAAGGAATTATATTGAAAACTTTGTAATAAAAATCTATTGAGGAATTTAATGCTAGGAATTAATTATATAAAAATACAGTATTTATTGTTTATGAAAATATTATCCTCTCTCTCTCTCTCTCTCTCTCTCTCTCTCTCATTTATCACCTATTGCCTATTCCTTTCGTAATTGTTATTTTTGTTATTTACCATCTCCCTGTTCGTAGTTTCTCTCAGCACAATTTTATTGTTGATTGTCTTTCGTTTATTTATTTTTTGTTTCTTTGTTTTGTCGCATTTTTTTTTTTTTTTAGTTAATTTGGTTTTCGTTTCTTAATCTTGTTTCCTTTTGTTTTGTTATCATCTTGTGGTTATTTTCTCAGTTCTTATACTTGGGTTCTTCTTCTTCTTCTTCTTCTCTTCTCCTCCTCTTCCTTCTCCTCTTCTTCCCCTCTTCTATCTCCTCCTCCTCTCTCCCTTTTCCTCCGTCTCCTCGTCATTCTTCTCTTTCCTCCTCTCCCCTCTTCCTCCCCCTCTTCCATCTCCTCCTCCTCTTCCTCGTCTTCCTCCTCTTCCTACTCCTTCTCCTCCTACCTATCCTCCACCTTCTCCTCCTCCTTATTCTTTTTCCTCGTTATTCCTGTCATTATCTTCCTCCTCCTCCTCCTCCTCCTCTTGGGTCACCTTTAGGACACTTTGATACTTAAATTCCCTTTTTAGGAATTATTTACCTTAACTTAAAATCTACTTACATATTTTTTAAGGATAGTTGGAAATTTATTATTATTATTATTATTATTATTATTATTATTATTATTATTACTAAAGAAAATATCTAACTGAGAAAAAAATATAAAATTAGCAATTACAAAGTATAATCCGACAGTATAAAGTATAAAGTATAAAAGTGAATTTCTAAAAGTTGTTGGATGAGAAATTGGATGAGAGTGGATAGACTTTAAACTGAATGAGGTGGATAAAGTATTAGAAGGCGTGGTATTGATGGGTGACGGGGAGGTGGGTGACGGGGAGGTGGGTGACGAGAGGTGGTGAGCGAGATGGTGGGTGACGGGAGGTGGGTGACAGGAGGTGGTGACGGGAGGTGGGGGTGGGGGGTGGGGATGGGTGTGTGTGTTATCACCATCAATCTAATCCTTTTTCTTTTCTCTTTCCTAACTTTCTCTTTACCCCTTTCTCTACCCTACACATCAAAACCTCCCCCCCTTTCCTTCCCTTTCTTTCACCTTTCCATTCAACTTTCTCTTTTCTCTACACATCAAAACCTCCCCTTTCCTCCCTTTCTTTCACCCTTTCCATACAACTTTCTCTTTACCCTTTCTCTACCCACATCAAAGAAACCTCCCCCCTTTTCCTCTCCCTTTCTTTCACCCTTTCCATACAACTTTCTTCACCTCTTCTCTTGAATCCTTGCCTCCTCTCTCCAAGGCCCCTTTCAGGAGTATCAAAATGCCTTTTCCTGATTCGTATTTGCTCAACTTTCAAACACTTTCTAATCATCCCGAGTTGCTTTTTTTTTCAAACAGCTTTCACTTTTTTTTCTTGTAATTTTTGTTGTTTAA